GAAATCTTGGATTGTTGGCAGTTGTCTCCATACTATACCGGTGCTTAGCTACCGTGTCTGTTTATGTGCATACTTGAATAAAACTCTGCGGTGAAACAACTGTAAATTCTCCAGTGTAATCACAGAGACCAAACCTTACCGTCGGTGGCGGTTTGTGTACCTCGGTGACCCGTTGAGCTATACCGAGGGCGTCTTCGCGACACTCACAGTTTGGGGCTGGAACGTGTGTGACGTGTTCCGTAAAAAGGTGCTGTTCTTGCATTTCCAGCCTAACACCGCTGTTTTGCGGCTAGGCTTTTGAGCAAAGGACCTTGGTTAAGCACTCTGATGGTTATCCTGTCTAGGTGTGGGCGCCGTGGCATTATCCCAGCCTAAATACAACCATGAGTTTACAGCTAACATTACTCTCGTGTCACATCGGCCGTCACGTGGGGCCATCAGCCGGCCTTACTTGCTGGTTACGGCTGGGCGGGTAAGCAAAAACGTGCTATTATTGACGCCTTCCTTCTTACACTTTCAAGTTTTCCCCCTTCCACCCTAGCCCACCCAAATTTCAATACCCTCTCCGCAGGTCCCAGCACTAGGACTGAGTGCTTGCTGTGCATCACACTCAGCTGCAGCTTTTGCATGTCCGAGTTCGGTAACAACTCTAAACACTTCAAAGTTTGTTTTCAAACTCCGAAAGCCTGTCTACTTAACCACTTTTAATGTTCGTACACTGAAGAAGGAAGGTTAACAGGTGGCTCTTGCTCGTACACTGGATTTACTCTACATTGATGCCTGTTTGTCGAAAACAAGGATGCAGGAAGCAATTACTGTAATCAAGCTGACTTCCACCTTGCTCTCTTCCGGGTCCCGGCTGTGCAGCTCTCAATCTGCTGAGGACAGTTTCCATGACGTCCTAAGTCCCCTTCTCTAAAAGCTCAAATATCCTTGTGGTTGCTGGTGACGTGAACACCCAGGTAGGTAGACTAAACGCTGCTGAGGTGGTCATCTTGGGCTGGACACGAGACGCAGGGACAACCGTGATCGCTCACTTCGTCGACCACAGACTGCTCCTTCGCAATATGAATTTCCGGAACAGCAGAAATCGCTTGAGGACGTGGCGCCCACCAAAAAAACAGCCAAAAACCCAAGTAGACCATATCGACTTCAGTTGTTGGTGGCGAGAATCGATCACTGCCTGTCGCTCCTTCTGGAACACCAGCGTGGACTCCTGTCATGCACTTGTATGCTGCTGCTTTTCATTGCGCTTTTCAGGGGTGTGCAAAGCGCGTACACCTTGCTCAGCCACTGAGAGCCTAGTGGACCCAGAATTCAAACTTAACTGTCAAAACCAGCTCGTCGAACACCTGCTGGACGGTCCGAAGTCGGGTATAAACGGCCACTGGGAAAAAATATTCAAAGCACTACTCATGACTGGAACTTGTTTGAGGTACAACTCAGCTAACCCCATCCAAACACGATCTTTGCTGTCTTTGCTGGAGACCCGGTGACAGACTCCTGGGCGCAACCACGAGTCTACTCGACAGATCGCCCGACGCTGGGTAAAACTGAGTGTCCATACAGACCGAGAAGCTTGGTAGACTAAAAAGGCAGAAGTAATGGGAGATGCGAATAATACCGGAAACGTCCGCAAGCTGTTCCACTTGATTCGTTCGACTTGTCATTGGAAGCCCTTTGCCAGTGAAGTAATTAGGGACCAAAATGGTTCCCTGATATGCAGCAAAGCGGAAGGTTTGGACCGCTGGGTACAGCACTTCGAACAGCCATTCAACTGGCCACCTGCTACCTTCAGTCCAGAATTTCGGCCTTCAACATAAAGCTGAATCGTGAATATGAAGCCATCTTCGGTCTCAAGTGTCCGGTTGTATTTCTCTACTCAAGCGTTATCGCGCTGCTGACCCTGACAACCTTCCACCCGCTCTGTTCAAGGACAGCGGTGGACTTCTCAGCCAGTGCCTGTCTAGCCTATTTGGGTCAATCTACACTCCCAGAAAACTGGGAGTGTAGTAACTGTAGAAGTGTTGGTTTGACTCCTGTTGTGACAAGTTTTCTGGTCCCACTGATTCCTCGTCATCTTGCGGTGGCGTGTGAAACTTTGACTCGTGAGAATCAACCGGGTAGAATTTGTGCTGACCACGTCTTCACACACCGTCAGGTATTACAGCAACGCCATATGTAAAAACGACCCACAATCTTGGTATTCCTTGACTTCGAGGGTGCGTTTAATTCTGTCGATCGGTCAGTGTTGTGAACTACACTTGCTCAACGGAGTATACCCCAGAAGTTTGTGAACAAAATCCGATCCCTATATTCGCATACTTTTGGGTGTGTAAAAGTGTAATATGAGCTCCCCAAATTCGTCCCTACAAAACGTCCTGTCTGACAAGGATATCCACTCTCCCCATTCTGGTTCAACCTCATCACTGATGAGATAATGAGGGGAACGCTGGAAGGTATTCAATTTGTTGCTGGTGAGAGCCTTGTCGATCTGGATTACGCGGACGACGTCGCGCTCATCTTCGAAGACGAAAGCGAAGCACATACCCTGTTGAATGAACTGGCCACCATCATACCATCTTCTGGAATCCTCCTGTCACCTTCGAATTTCGAAGTCATGCTTCGGAACGTGCAGTGTCTGAACATATCCCTTACAATATCCTTACAATCATAGGAGATTGTGGCAAGTTCCACATACCTCAGTAGTTGTACTAGCTCTGACGGAACTGTCTGGCGAAGTCAGTGCAGGAATGTTAGAGGCTCGAATCACGTTTGCTAATTTGCGTCACTTGTGTCGTTAAAAGGCGTATCACTAGATCTTAAGGGTTGGGTGTACCAGGCTACAGTAAAGGCTGTTTTTGAGCGGGTACGAGACGTGGTCTCTGCAGACCGATGATGTGAGGCGTCTTCAGGTTTTTGACCACTTATGTTTCAGAAATGTTGCTGGTTTTGGATGGCGTCAGCGTGTTAGTAATGAGGTTATTAGAAAACGGGTGTATGATTGTGCGCTAGGTACTTTAATCGGGGAAAACATCCAGCACCATCGATTATGACGGCTCGATCATGTGCTACGTATGCCGAAACACCGTCTACCGAGACTAGTTTTGTTCTCCTTGCCACCTTTAGAATGGCACTAACCGCTGGGTGACTAACGTATGACTTGACAGAAGGGCGTGAAAGAGGTCACAAATAGTACATAGCTACATAGCTGGTATTGAACTAGGACCCTCAACTTGAGTTTGCGAAGCTGCCCTTCGCCACTTCCGTCCGGATGCAGAAGCTGACCCTCACGATTCGAGATGACTCCAATGCTAGAAGCTTTAGACCATTGATGCTTGAGGATTTTAAGGTCAGGGGGCAAACGAAATCTCTGAGCTCTCAGTCCGACAACCCTGTTTCGGCACTTTAAAGTAATGCACTTGCATCCAGCAATGTCTGTAGTGCTTTGGACGCGTACTTACAAACTGGGAAAGGAGTTTGTAGATAGTTTTCCCTAATCTAGCTTTTTTAGAGTTTACCTCTCCTGCCATATGGAGAAGCCGAATAAGTAGCTCGATGCATCCAGCTCAAATGTTTAAAGTTTCCAATCAGTGCACGGTGCCATTGCGGAAAGCAGACCTGGTTGCGTTTTGTGCGGACTCTGTAGGACATCAAATGTAGGTGTTTTCAACCTGATTATTGGGACAGATCGGTTAAAATAGTGGAACTCATTGTTAAATTTAGAAAACTAAAGTGCTAAACCGTCCATGCATGTAGCATTGCTGTATCACTTGAAGGGATGCAAAAATGTGCTCCTTTGCACATTTGATTCAGTACTACCTATCTGGAAAGAAGAGTCTTCTTTCGAGTGGTTGCAGCCATTTTGGACTCCGTACATGTCCTCTTTATACTGTTACATTGGGGCGAGATGGCTCAGTGGTTAGAGCGAAATTTACTGACCGGAAGGTCTGACCTCTGCCTCTCGACTTCCCCTGTCCAGGCTTGGGCAACCTGGCAGTATCCCAGCTTTCGTGCTTTCTTCTAGTGGCATGGCAGCTAGGCACCGAAATGGTGTTAGATCTGAACGATTACATTGCTCACTGTCGTATGCGCCAGTGCAGCTTTTGCCAATGTTTTTAGATCACAAGTTTCTGTATCGCATACAACACTGCTTTACACAGCCTGCATTGTCGTCGGAGGACCAATTGAAATAAATGCTTTTCGTCGCTGTAAATATCACCGCACACTACCTATGATACATGCACGATCGTTTGGAAGTTGCAACCATAATTTAAAAAGGCCTTGGAAATACTGCTCTTCTCCAAAAGGCTACCAGTTCAGCCAAGAAACACCTCCGTCCGCTCCGCCACACATTTGAAACTTCGAATGGAGTGGTGATAGTCTACGCGTGACCAAGTGTAAAGCGTACGGTTCAAACATGGAATTCTAGGGTCAAGTGTAAAGAAGGGCTTGCGCAGCACTCACAGAGGCTTAGATTCCTCGACGTCCCCCAAAGTGAACAGCTAGCATAACTCATCCATCTCGCTAACGTACTGGGGATTGTGAAGTGACTTCGTTATCACCTATCAGGTCTTTGCGGGTCTCGATCATCCCCATATAACTCACCGAAGTCTCACCATCATCATTCACAACAACGCGTGAAATGACAATGATCCGGTGGTCGATTTATGTGAAATGAAAAGGCGGAGGATAACAGGGGTTTGGCACAGGCTCACCACGAACATCTGTGCTGCGTACCGCCCCAGGACTCAATAAGATTATCCAGATTGAGATTTAAGGCATGGACATCATCAACGTAGGTTGACTCCTACTTCTGTAACTCCTCCGGCCATTCAGAGGCACATTCACTTGGACCCCATCATGAAAGGAGTCAACAACATCCATAATTTTCGTAACTCCCTCCATCCTCACCTACCCGGTCATATTTTACCCGCTACTGCTTTAGTGACGGAAAGCAATACCGTTCTTCGTAGACGATAATTTGACACGGGTAACGTATGATTGAGCCATCCCAGTGTGTAGCGTTTGATCAATCCTGGCCAATTCAATAATCATCCAGGTCCAGATCACCATTTCGGACTCTTTTGTTTTAAATTATTCCAGCTATAGTTCTGTGACCTAGGTAGTCGAAGGCTTGACACGCCCACAAGTTTGTGATTACTAGGAGTGGATGGTATTCGCGAACTTCAGGCATATCCTGTTGAATGTTCAGGAGGATGAATCGATGAACGGAACCAAACGCACCCTTGAAGTCAGGGAACACAGGAATTATGGGACATCTATACGTTACCCGTTGCTCTGACATTTACAGACTGCGGAGGTGTGGTCCACAAAGTCCCTTTCAGCCTGCTGTTCTTGGGTCGTGCCTTCACATACTCCAGCAAGACTACCTAAAGTAGAAGATACAAATGGTTTCGTTACAGCGAGTATAAGCCAATGCCGCTGTGATTGTCGGTTCACCCTATTTGATGAGGCTAATCTCTTTTTTCCATGTAGGGGCAACTAAGTTATGCAAACACTGACTAAGGATTTCACCTCCTTCCCTAAACAGCGAGTGGAAGTTTTGGGACTTTGCCTAGTATCAGGTTAGTAGGGAAACAAATGCTCACCTCGCCTGCTGTTAACACTGACACTGAATACCGTTTTTACTAAGCACCCACAACTTTCTAAATATCCACAACATGAGAATCAAATCAATTTCTTGGTGAGGCATACATAATTCACCAAGGTATGGGTTTCCTACCAACTTGTCACCCGATTCGGTTAACCGAAAGCATCAGATAGATTACTTCAAGATCCTAGTTTTAAATTATCTAGTCATCCATTGTAGAATCCTGTATGAACTCATGATCAAACTGGACGTACATCGGAGAAATTCTATGACATGGCAGTAAAGCTCAAGCCTCATCAGGATTGATCTAATCGTTGTTTCCCGTGGGATTCAGTCCCCGAAGAGAGTACTCTTCTACTAGCTTACTCGCATTCCTTCAGTCTCTTAAATTTGGCGATCGAGTATAGTCGGTGGTCAAGGTTTGCATAGACTGACTTACTGGGTTTGTAGTGACATTTCTATACAGTCATTAGACTAACCGAATTTTTCTCGTATTTACGTAATCCAGGTTGCCTGACGGTTTTACTCACCAAACATTGAGTTACTTGACAGAGACTTTGATTAGCGTAATGCGCGGAAAGCAGTTTGCTCGTTTCCTGCAAAAGCACGTTCTCTACAGTGAAAATGAAGAACAAGAAGTCAACAGTGAAGTACGGAGTACCCCGCCAATCCGGCTGATGATTTCTCATCCCACCGCCAGCCGAATCGTTCGGGCGATAATCCGTAGACTCACTAAGCTTCAGGATATGGAAGCCATCTTCGACGCATTAACCTGCGTAGCGGGACAAGGACAATCTACTTCTGGACTTGAAGATGCGATTTCCAGTGGGCAGCATGCGGTTGTCAATGATCTGGCTACTACTTGCTTGCAAGAAACTTTTGCTCCCATGCAACGCCGTTTTTTGAAGGCGAGTGGCGTACCTTTTCTCTCTTATTTTAACTTCGAATGATGTTAATTGTTCTCGATAGCTCTCTAGATTTGATGCCAGCTATTCCAGGTTGGTGTCCTATTTTCAGTTGCATTATGTATTATCTATAGCCTTTTACTTTTAGTAACCTGTGTTATTGTCGGTGTAGTTAATGATGCGCCAGCTCTTAGCTTTGGGACTTCGTGGAGCTTGATTTACCGTTATGTAAATTCAGTACAACTCACTACTCGGTGGCATTCAGCTGAAGCTGGATACGGTACTGGAAGATAACACGATGTGGATTCAAGCTCGATTTAGGCATATCCACTTCAGACGCAGTCGTCGCCACCCCATTGGGTTGTTTATAGTTCGGACGTATATTTACCTATTGCACATGGGGGACATCCTACGGTAGCTGTGGACGGAAGAGAAATGTGCGCACGTAAAACAGAAGGAAAATAGTTCATTTAACGCTCTCTCGGTATCGTCATCCATTTATGTGGAATTATTCCAAGTTACTCATGGGTAGCAACAGATGAGGAAAGTCCGATTCCGCCAGTTTTCGCAGCTTTGCCAGGGTTTCTGAAAATCCCTACCAAATGCGTGGGATTATTGGGCCAAACACCAAACGGCGATTTCGGACCCATGACATCATTGTGGGAATACGAACTAGCTAGCTTCATCAATCTCCTGTCCTGTTTGTTTAAAAATGGGGAGTAAATTCCGATTCGACGCCTGTGTAGCCTATTTCCCTCCATTTTGCAGAGTCAGCTTGTTCCAGTAAAGTCGACAAAAAAAGAGTGGTCATTGCGTCGTATTTGACGGTGCTCGATCACTTGACTGAGAACAAAAGGCGACATTCCGGCCGGGAGTGGGATTCTTTAGATAACATATTTGCACCTCCTTAAGGGTAAGATCAAAAGTACACACATTCTTGATGTTCCTCAATCTCTAATAAGTCTTTCGACCTGCCTGATCCTTTAGATGCGTGCTTACTGCGATATTTTCGGGGCCATGCGTTCACCGTGTGGGTATGTGGAAGTGCGGGTACCTCTCTCATTTTTCGCTTGCCATCGTACTTGATCACGTGTTCAAACAGGTCCTGGAGGATAGCCGAAATCCCAGTGCTGAAACCACAGATGAAGGCATGGGGAACAGCGTTCGTCTCGACTAAGTAGCGCATCACTGAGCCGCCGCAGTGGTGTTGGGTGTTTTCCGCAATGGAAGTACCTGCTTCACAACCAAACACCCGCTTTCTAATTATCTCGTTATGAATTCGTTGACTTCTTCGGACCATAGCAACGCTTTTGAGATTTCAATGGTCAAAAACCTGAAGACGCTTCACATCACTATCCGCACAGGTCATGTCTCACAACCTAACAACAATACAGCCCTTACAGTAGCCCTGTACACGTGACCCGTGAAACCCAGTGGTATGTCTCTTTGGCGCCGCGATTTCTTAAACATGGTTAGGGCCTTTGAGAGCCATTCACTCACTTCATCAGACATTATGGTCAGTTTACTCAACAGGGCTTATGCTTATCCTTCGTCTCCAAGGGTGAGGAAGGTATCGTCTACATACTGCATATTTACAACGTTCTCACCAGTAGCGATTCGAATACCTCGGTTCAGACATCCTTCCGGTTTTCGCCTCATTAATTCATCGACGAAAAAGTTGAACATGAACCTAGAGAGTTGACTTCCTTGTCCGACCTCACCTTTCGTAGGGAGACTTTTGGAGAGCTCACCAGACACTCACACGCCCAGAAGTATGTGAATATAGGGACCGGATTATGTTCACAAATTTCTGGAGCATACTCTGTTGGGTAAGTGTAGTTAACAGCACTGACCGATCGACAGAATCGAACGCACCCTTGAAGTCAAGGGTCATCTGTAAATGTGGCATCTGATGGAGTGTAAACATACGGTCAGCACAGCCTCTACCCGGTCGAAATCCCGCTTGATTCTCACGGATCGAGGATTTGAGTGCCGCCGTGAGACGACAAAGAATCAGTGACACCTGAAGTCACAGTCAAACTAACACACATGTGTTCACTACATTCATTGTCAGTGCGTTTTTTGAAAATGGGCACCATTATGAACTCACCCCAGTTTTATTTGAAGGCATCTTTCTGCCATACAGGCCAAAGTAAGTAGATAGGCACTGGTTGAGGAATCCACAACCATCCTTAAACAGAGCAGATGGAAGATCGTCAGGACCAGGAGCTCGATGTCGCTTGAGTAAAGGTATGCATTCCGATACTTCCGAGACTAGGAGCTCCATATTCACAGTCCACCTTTCCGTTGCTGATCGAGCTACTGTACCCAACGGTCCATACGTTCCCCTTTTCGGGATATCGGAGTACCATTTTGGTCCCTGATAGTTTCGCCGACAAGAGACCCCCAACGACCACTCGATCGAATCAAGTGGAACAGCCTGCGGACGTTTCCAGCATTATTTGCATCTTCCGTTTATTTGGCATTTCAGGTCTATCAAGCCTCACCTGACGTCGAATGGTGCATCTGGTTGGTCGTGGTTGCAGCCGGGAGGTATCTCTCTCCAGGCCTCCAGCAAAGCCATGATCCTATCAGAGACCCCGTGTTTGGATGAAGTTAACTGGGTTAAATCGCAAACGGGAGTTCCGGCTCTAAGTAGCATTGTGGATATCTGTTCCCAGTGATCGTTAATGTCCGACATCGGACTGTCCGGCAGGTGGTTGGGGATAGGTTCATTTGATTTCTGGATCCACTAGCTTCACAATAGCTAAGCGAGGTGTGTGCGTTTTACCTAGAACTGAAAAGCACAATGAAAGCAGCAGTGGACAAGTGCATGACCGGATTCCATGGTGGTATCCCAGAAGAAGCGGCAGGTAGTGATTGAACGACAATCCGTAACTGACGGCGATGTGGTCTATTTGGATTCGAGGCTGGTACGTTGGTCGGCAATACGTTGTCAAGCGATCTCCGCTGTTTCCCGAATTTGTACTGCAAAAGAAAAGTCTGTAGTAGGCACACATCTGAAGCAGGTGCGTTTTCTATCCAACTTAAGACGGCCACCCATTTGGGCCTCGGCAGCGCTTGTTCGCTTACCTGAGTATTCACGCCACCACCAACCACAACGATGTTTGAGCTTCCCGCCCGTTGTAAAAGAGCACCTAGGGTGTAGAAGCCTTCTTCGGCAGATTTAGATTTACATTCCACTGGGGTCTACGCAGACAATGGATCTCATTTTCTCGCGATTCTTTCATAATAGTAGCCAAACGAACCGCGCATAGGCGATTATCAATAGCTGCCCAGTCAAGCAGATACGCTTCACCTCGGTCGCCTAATAAACTATCCACCCCGGCATATCAAGATGCAGTGGCCTACGCATCACCATCCGGAACCTGGTACAGAGTCAAGGGGTAGTCAGTCCAATTACAGCACTTTTCTGCTATATCCTTGCTTTTGACATACAGCATACATCAGAGCAAATAGAATCCAACTTTTGAGCAAGGACCACTTCCTACTTGCTTCAGTGTTTGTACAATAAAGGCGGCTGAATAGACCAGCTTTCGGGATATGAAAACAAACTTAGAATTGTTTAGCGTTGTTGCTCAAGTGCCACCTCCGGAAACTGCAGCTAGGTGTGATGCACGGTGAGCAAAGCGTCAGTCCGAGTGTTGGGACCTGTAGAGAGAGTATCCCAATTTGGGTGGTATAGGGTAGAATGTTTAAGCGAGGCGTCAGTAGTAGCGTGTTTTCGCTTATCCGCTTTCCTGTATGGAACAACTAAGGTGACCCGGCTGGTGACACCTCGTAACAACCGATATGGCATGGGAGTATTTTTGGTTGTGAGCAATCGGATAGATACTGACAACAAGAACGCAATCGATTAGCAGTGATATCTTGCAACATGTCCAACAAGGCGCGATGGGAATCATCCGGTCCCTATCCTGGAAGGCGGATGGCTCTGACAGGAACCAGAAACCTCATAATTCTGGCAGGTCAAGGGTTAGCTACATCTGTTGCCGCCACTCTGAATTGGACACAGAAAACAACGCCTCTTCTGCAGTGACCCGGCTGGTGACACCTCGTAACAACCGATATGGCATGGGAGTATTTTTGGTTGTGAGCAATCGGATAGATACTGACAACAAGAACGCAATCGATTAGCAGTGATATCTTGCAACATGTCCAACAAGGCGCGATGGGAATCATCCGGTCCCTATCCTGGAAGGCGGATGGCTCTGACAGGAACCAGAAACCTCATAATTCTGGCAGGTCAAGGGTTAGCTACATCTGTTGCCGCCACTCTGAATTGGACACAGAAAACAACGCTCTCTTCTGCAAACGGTGGTTTGGTGTCCGCAATACATGGTCTAACCAACGCAGCCTCTGGTGTTGGATACATTCTTCAGTTGCACAATCGAAAACTCGCTTTCTACTTGCGTTGTTACGGATACGCCGACACCAACCCACACGAACTATGGTTCTGAGACAACGATTGTCGAAGCCCTGAAGGCATCTCACTTCCGCTGCTCGAACAGGCCAGGTCTCACGACCATACAACAAAACAGCGGGCACTGTATCCTGACACACATGTCCCTTGAGATTCAGGAATATACCGCTTTGACGCCACGGATATCCCAAATTAGCAAAAGCGACACGAACCTAGCGGTTTTGTGCGTTGACCTAATCTGACAAGCTAAAATCAAAGCTAATACGACCTCCAAGATACTTTAAACACTCCACAACTTTAGTGCCTCTCCCTGAATTGTAAGTGGCGTGTTCAGTGAGTGCATGCTAAAGGACAGAATGACTTTGATCAGTTCATCCAAAAACACCGGTGCTTTCTCCTCATCTTCGAAGCCTAGAACGACGTCTGCATCTTCTAGATAGACAAGGTTTTTGCCATAGGCTATCTGAGCACTGGGGTTCTGGAGATCTTCCAGCGTTCGTCTCGTTATTTCATCGATCACGAAATTAAATAGGAATGGAGAGAGTGGGCACCCCTGACGAACACCGCTTTGTTTACGGAAGCTTCTAGAGAGCTCGCTGTGTACTCGTACGCGTTCGTCCAGCTGTAGCACCCTTTTGGCGCTCAACTGCCAAGTTGCCCAAGCCTAGACAGGCGAAGTCGAAATTCAGAGGTCGGGTCCGAACCATGGGTTTTCCGGTCAGTAAATTCGCGCTCCAACCACTTAGCCGTCCCCTAGAAGTCTGAGAATACATAGAAATTGCTAAGTCCACAAACTCCCGGGGCATTCCTTGATGAAAAACTTCTCAAGGATAACAGACAGGTCACCCGACTCGAATGCGCCTTGGAAATCCCAGAATACTAAAATTATGGATTGTTCGCACGTACAACGTTGTTCTAGCACCTAACGGAGTGTAGAGATTTAATCAACGGATATCCTACCAGGTCGGAATCCCGCTTTCTGCTCTCGAGTCAGTGTTTCGCCAGCCACCATAAGGCGGCAAAGCGCTAATGACACCACCAGTCTCGTTACGATAGCTGCCAAGCCTATCTCCCAGTGGGTACCACACTCGTTACGAGCCTTTTTGTTTAAAAAAAATGGCACTATCCCAAATGCAGGCAAACATGTCAGATAAGAGCTGACTGGGGACTTCACCTCCGTCTTTGAACAATGTGGGTGGGAGGTTATCCAAACCAGATGCTCGGTGGCGCTTTAGAGAACATATGCAGTCGAAAACCTCCCAGACTGCAAAGGGCTCACACACACCCTCCAAGGATATATGTCAGCTGTGAGCTCCAGATGAGTGGCAGCTGGTGGTAGCAATATTAACTGCTTTTGAAGTATTCTGCCCAGTCGCCGAAGCGACCTTCCTTATCCCAGATGACCGCTCCGTTCTGATCCTTGATGGTCTCGCTTACTGGTGGTTTCCGGGGGCCGGTCGCACGAATCAAGCAAAGTAATCTTCAGGCATTGCCGGTGTTCCGAGCCTCTTAACTTTCCGTGCCCACCAGACTTCACGACCGGCTCTCACGCTCACTTTCACTTGACATCTGATTATTCGTCAAGCCAAATTATATTCGGCACCGGCCGGGTTATGTCTGGGAGATTTAAGCAGTGCCACTGTTCAGTCAGTGCTTGATTATGCTTGGTAGCGTGTGATAGGGAGTAGTGGTGCGCCCCAGCTTAATTCTTGCTTCGTTTCGGTTCAAACATCCAACAAGGTCCATTCTCAAAGTAAGACATAAGTGCTTCTGAATGGTGGTTCATATAAAGAGGAAGCACTCCGCAAATTTGAATCAGTGCGTTTTTGAGTACCCAGGTTCACCACTGCGATTCGCGAAAACCCTATCGGTAAACGGAATGCTTGGCAGTGGGATTCCATGAACCAGTTCCAACTATCCGCTGCAGGAACAAAAAAACTTCTTTCGATCGGTATTTTTGTGCTGCAGTCGAATGATCGCTGTGAACTGTGACGGACGCCATTTTTAGTTATAAAACATTGTTCGTCGGTTGTCTCTCATATCGTTCAGGTTGACATTCACCGTCTCAATTTTATTGTGAACAGTATGTATTGTATTGAACAGTATGTATTGTTCCGGGAATATTCTTTTATAACGGTATTTCTGTCAGCATGTTAACAAAATTTTTATTTCGTCAGTCAGTCAGCTGTAACACACCTTCGGTGCTTAGCTGCCAAGTAATCCGATGGAAGCATCAGGGCCCAAGCCTAGACAGGATTAGTCGAGATATCTGTTCAGAGTTCGAACCGTCAACTTTACGATCAGTAAACTCGTGCCTTAACTATTGAGCCATCTCGAGCTCAACTCGTTATCTTAATTTATATCATAAGCAAACACTTCTTGGTTGGTCTGATGTAAAATTAGTGAACACAGTTTCACTACGACTGGACAGTGGTGTTTCTATCAGAATGGGTAGTAAAGTACGGATGCGGTAGTTTCGTGTCGTTGCAGCCTTTCGAGTGGATGATCCTCAAAAATACTCCTGCATCTACGTCTTTCTCGAATTCCACGTCCTTCTTTCCTAGAACTGACACGTGTATCTAGAGGATATTACCGCCTGTAAAAAACGTATGCTCCACAGTTTACTAATGCAGTAGACCGTTTTTTTTCTTCCGTCTTTTGCCGTCGCCTGCCATCTTGTATGAAATCAATTTTACTGCTCTTAACTTTCTAACGTTTATCTTTTAGATGTTATACAAGGCCTTTGGACATCCAGGGAAAAAGCCACTGGCAAATGCTGGAGAGGATTCATTAATTCGCTGTGTTGTTGGTCTGCGAAAACCGGATGAATCACCGTGCGCACATCCAAACGGGGATTCCCACGCATCGTCCGATGGTGACGACTTGGCCGAACCAGTCACCTTGCCGGGTTCTCTTCTCGCCCAAACGCTTTTCCGTTTCGAAGTCGGCCATCCAACTGTTCTGGCTGCTAGCCTCTGTACCCAATCTAATGAAAGGCTTTGTGCTTGGGCGAAACATCCCATGCTTTCTCGCGTCATCGAGGCTTTGCTTAACTCTCCTTCCGTCTCACTGAACCGGAAGTCCTACTTGATTTCAGTATTCGAAGTAAGCATATCAGGTAGTTTAGGGTGGGCTGAAGCTGTGTCCGTTTGCAACCTTTTCATAGGTGAATTAGCTCTTTAAAGTGCAGTATTTTCCCGAATTCATATTTAGCCCAGTTGCAGTTGCCCCCTCTCTATAAACTGTTCTCATGCGGAAAATCGGAGACTTCACCTGGCTGATAAACCCAAGAAGGGCAAAACCGGTTATGGGCTGTCGACAAGTTTCCAATGACCTTACAAGCAATGTGTTTCGTTCAGAATTGTACGATAAATCCTCACCTTATGCTGAGTCAGTCCGATAAATGTCTCAATTTTAAGTTTAACGCTTCCGTAAACGCAGTTTGCCGCAGTGGTAGGGTATTTTTCGCGCTCCTTATCCCCAATCCCCCAATCCTGAATTCAGGATGGTCTCTATCACTCCTATATCACTCTGGACGGCGTCTACGATGTCCTATGTCAGACCTCCAGATAGACTCTTTAGTGCTGGATAACAGTAATGCCGCCTAATAGAAGGCAACATCGTTAGTGATTCAGGCCATCATCTCGAGTTGAACGACACTTTCCCTATCCTTCTATTGCCCTTTTGCTTCTGAACAGCATTTTGTATGCTGGAATGGTACCCAAACAGATTTTCCTGTATTGGTTGATAAGTCACGTGACAGCGTGAACTACTCATTTTGTACGGATTTTCGTAAGTGATTTCGCTGCAAGTTGTATCAGCCTGTTGCACCATTTCCTGCGAATCGAATAACAATCACTCTACACACACCAGCGTCGTCGTTCGCTTTTGCTATCACCCTTTCTTGATTGATATCTGTCCAATTTGGTTCCAAGCAGAACATAAAGTTGACAGAAAGTCTGGGGCTGCGCCTACCTGATGAGCCCCAAGAAGAGCGAAATCTAGCGAGTAGCCTTACGAAGATATCCGCTGTAACCACGGGCACATGTTTCACGTTTAGCGTGGACTTCCGTAATAGATGAATTTCGGCTGAGAGAATCGCGGAAAACAAATCTCTGTGGAGAAGAACTGGGATTGTTAAATTTTTGGCGAAGCTCACGAAAATTTCCATGAGCATCCGTTTCTTCAGGCATCTATTGATTGTTTTGTTATTATTTTTCCATTAAGTATGACAAAATGAATCAAGTCAATCAGGTTGATCACACCGGTTGGTGATTGTCATCCATTCCCCAGGAACGCATCGTTTTCCAACAGTACTGTATAACTTAACGCCGTAGAATACCACGAAAACAGCTGTGTCCCCATCATTGCATGGGATTCCGAATGATTCTACGGCATTGTTGGATAACGAGTGTTCGATTCTGAAACAGGAAATCGTTCAGCTGTAGCACCCCTTCGGTGCCTAACTGCCATGCCACCTGAAGGTTGCATAAGGGCTAGGATATTGCCAGGCTGTCCAAGTCTAGACAGGGAAGTCGAGAGGCAGAAATCGAGTTCGAAACACAGACCTTTCGATCAGTAAATTCGCGCTCTAACCACTTGGGCCATCTCGCACCAACGAGGCATCGTCTGGCAGTTGAAGACTCTACCGGTCGGCTGAGTTTCCGATTAGCAGTATGGATAGCCCACATTTAGACTTCTTACCTTTCAATCAGAAAATCCAAGCCAAAGTTACTTGGCCACTGACACCTCGTGGAACAAATCCGCAGACGGCAACCCGAGCAAATTGCAGGATTTTTGTTTTCTATGCTACTTGTAACTTCATAGTAGCATAAATAGATTTTGAAATAGGAGTTGGCGCCAGCCCTCATTACCCATTCTTTTGCTGTATACTGAGGTTAGCAGATGCATCCAGACTGTGTTCCGAATTTCTTCTACCTCCAGCGAGAGGGAGGCGCACATACGTTGGCCGCTTGGAAAACAAGTCTTTCAAGTGCAATCAGGGTTCACTCGGGCACTGTTGAATACTGGGTCATGATGGCAGGTGCCAACTCCTATTTCAAAATCTATTTATGCTACTAAGAAGTTACAAGTAGCATAGAAAACAAAAATCCTGCAATTTGCTCGGGTTGCCGTCTGCGGAATTGTCCCACGTGTCAGTGACCAAGTGACTTTGGCTTGGATTGTCTGATTGAAAGGTAAAAAGTCTGAATGTGGGCTATTCATACTGCTAATCGGCAACTCATAGCCGACCGGTAGAGTCTTCAACTGTCAGACGATGCGTCGCTGGTTCGGACCTTCTAGAGGCTCGTGAGATGCACTCCGTTGATGATGCCCTTGAGTGAAACAGTTGTGCAGTTCTGGACTTCTCAGCGTGTACTGGCTTCAGATCAAGGACAAAATCGCGATTCTACTTTCAAAATCTCACTTCTCAACAGGTTTTCATCCTTGTACTTTACATGGTACCAACTGCTTGCGCTTGATCATAGTTCACCGCGCTGTTCGACCCAAATGTTGGGATGACTCACTGAGCAATACAATTTCTACATAGGTCACGAACTCCAGCAGTATCCGCTTATGTATGGGAAAGCAAATAACTGGCGCATGTTGTACGCAAAATATCCATGTTTCTGTCTGAAACAACACGATGACTAAAACTCAGGGGGGAGATTGAATAATAGATGTCGTAAATCGCACTGTGAGCATTTTTGTCATAATCGAGACACCAGACTTGACCAGTTTCTCGCCGGTCCCCACTGAGTCTATCTTGCAAGCTTTTAACCATTTTTGATTCGTCTATCGGACTTCACATGTGTTTGGTTAGGTGGAACAGCCGGACCAACGCTGCATGGCCCCTTGCTCGGAAAGCTGTTCATCCATCAGCCCTGACAGCCTCGCATCTCGAAGTCAGTCAAGCAACGACGTTCAATTCATCTGGATACTTTTACTGTTTGTACGATGGAGCAGTCCAGAAAACCGATTGCACTTGCTGTAATACTGTACTCGCTTGGCATTGATGTGTGCCGCCCATCCGAAACGGAAATTCAAGATCCAAACGCAGTCATTAATCTAAGTTCCTCATTACCTTCCGATTTTGGCTGCGCACTCTCGGCGATTTAGAGGCCGTTGTGGTAGGCTGTCTAGAGGTCGGTATCGTCCTCAGTTACCGTGCGAAACGACCCTTGTTCAACTGGTTAATGGTCGATAGTCGCTTCCGTCGAGGAGTTTCACCAGCGTGAAGCTGACCGTCTTTTTTGCGTCTACTTAAGCCCCGACTGACTGGAGCTGTAACACCATGAAGGACAACTTCTATGACGCCTTGAGTGCCCTATTTCCGGGGGCCATCAATTCGGAAATCGTTGTTTCCAGGAATTTGAATTCACGAGTGAGCAGACTTAGTGCATCTGAAGTTCGATCTGGTGGTCAAATTAGATTGGAATCGGTGCATACTGGCATTGGTGAACGACTACTTCAGCTATGTGCTGACCGCACATTTTTATGCAACACACTTCCGGAATAACCGAAATGATTTGGTTATATTGGTGCCTTCCAGAAGCGTGGCTCCCACCGACCCAAATCGACCACATTGTCATCGGTTATCGAAGCCGTGGATCAATAATTGGCTCACTCCTTTTCAAGCACTTGCGTGAACTTTGACCATGCATCCACCTGAGTCGCTTCTCTCTTCACTCTTTAGAACCACATAAGTGGCGAAGAATTCGGTTAGCAACTGGTGGGTTCGTAGATGCCGAAGTCGAATGGATTTATCAGATTTGACCTTTGAACTCTTCCAAAGCTACACCATCGGATGTTAATTCACATTTTAACGAAATCACTACATCTTTACATAATGCCGGGAGTTCAGTCAGCGAAACATCACCACCAGCTTTACTCGAGCACCGGATATCAGACAGAACAATGACATTGCTTAAATTTCTGCAACGTCTTTCCAGCGCTCCAGAGCATAATTCGACCCGGTGATTTCCAGATACCAAGCAAAAATCAGCTTGCAAGCCGTCCGTGAAGTCTGGTGGTGGACACGGAGGGCCAAAGAAATGGAAGATAGGAAGTATGTCGGGGATGCCCCAATATTACATTTGTAAACTCATGGTACTGGACCCCCGAAGCCTCCTGAGTTAATCCAATGAGTATCAAGTTGGCTCGGCCATTTTCATTGATAAATGATGCCTTGACTGCTGGGTCCATCGCTTTGAAGGACACTTCTCGTCGCCACTTAGTCCATTTCTCGAACTGCACTAGAATCCTGGACGGTGAACCCGGAACCGAATACCCGGCCATTCATTCAGTTGTTTGTGATTGCATATATTCTCTCAAGTACCGGCGAGTTGCTGGTCCGCACTATCCTCACCCGCGTTATTGAGGGATGGAGGTAAAGTCCTAATTCTGTTTGTTTGCATTAGGGAACAGGAGACTGTTCCGGACAACTAGGGAGAGTTAATAACAGTGCTTTTTTCAAAAATGGTGCAATCACACAAGAATCATCTGAACGCCACTTGTAACGAGGATCTTGGCGTCACTTGTCGCTCGCCCGATGATTGCCCGTGAAGCATTGGCGCAAGAGTAGGTAGCGGGATCTACGTCTGTTAGGCGCTGTGTTGATCACATCTTCAGGCTTTATCGGTTACCAGAACAAGGCTATACGTATAACCGACCCACAAGTTCAGTATTCCTGGATTTTCTCGGTACAGTCGACTCTGTTGAACTTGAAATCCTTGCTTGGCAAAGATTGTTTCAGATGTTCCTTTATGCAATGAGTTCTTTGCATTCTCAGGATTACCAGCATGTATGGGGAAATTTCCAGGTATTTTCATACAAAGCTGATACCCAACGCGGATGACGACTCTGTATCCCTATCAAACGTCGTGATCGACGAGATAATTATATTGAGAAGCCCCAGCTGCCAACGTCCCGAAATCTGCAGACGACATCGTCCTCGTCATGGAAGAGAAGGCAGAGATATTTTCGGGCAAAGTGACCGAAGTCACACCGTCCTTTGACATGCGCTTAGCAACCTCATGGCGTAAGGTCCTAGACATGCCTTCACTGTATCCCGTTTCCAACCTGATGAGAGACACTCGAGGTTGTGGAACCTTTTACGTACTTTGGAAGTTGCACGTCTCCCGGCTGCAGTATGACAGAAGGCACTCATGCATGGGACTCCAAGACTGATTAGCAGTGCGATTAACTTGTATTTGGAATATAGCGCACTCATCCTTCATTAGCGGAACCCACCACACGTGATCACGTGTTGACTGGATTCTCGAGTGACTTCTCCGATGGAAGTCTCACTCTTCGTGTGATGAGGCTTGATAATTTTCGTTTGGGATTTTGTCATGTAAGTGGAGCAAATAGACGCTGAAAAACCGAGAAGTGCCGTACAGTGGTTTCATTTTTATTGGTATTCATCACCCGTTTCAACTTTTACCCTCCATTTCCCTCTTTTCACTCTACCATGCGCTCTATCTCTTTCCCCTTGAACCCAAATGGAAGCTCTGTTTCTTTATGTACTCACCCTCTCGTCACTCAAAAAAAGGGCTGTTTTGTTGTTTTTTAGCTTCTAAATCTCGTGGTCTATATGGCATTCTTGTCACTTTGTTCTAATCCTGTGATGCATCACTTCCCAATGAAAGGTTTTGTTTTCCATGTGTTGTACGCTCTCATGTCCCCTCAGTGTCGCAGAATAGCGTCGTGTTCTACTCAACGCTACTTAATCTGCTAATAACAAGTTAGCCAACGTATGGCTATTTTCTGTACTCTTCGAGTGCATTTGGCTTCGCTTGATATCTTGAATATATTCTGTTGAATCTGGGCCTTTCGGACTTCCATTATAGTGTTCGCATATGCGTCTGTCGATCTGTACGAAATTTCCCTACTTGTTGTGTCGATGTGTCACTGCAACTTCAGGTGAACTAATAAATGACCTAGGAAATAGAATGGTCTGACAGACTCTGAGACCTAAGTTAAGACCTAATACTTTTGCTAGCAAACAGGAGACGGAGCCGTAAAGCTGGGTACTGCAGTTTAGTGCAGAATCCAGCTTCTTTTTGAAAGTGTTGGAGATGTCGTCCCTCTATGTGGCATACATCATGCTTTCTTTCTGGCCTTACTCGTCTGACTAGGTCGAGGAGATTGGTGTTCCGTGAATCGATATACCTTCGTAGCCGTTGGCTAACAAAATCTGATCGAACAATCGTTTTTCCTTGATAAGTAGCCCTGTGTATCCTTGACTGTGAAACAATACATGCAGTATGCCTACTTTGTAGGCTTTTCGGGGATAGTCACTGAATTGAAAGTACTAACCATTTCAGCTAGTCTTCCGGTGACTCGTGCCTTTTAAACGCGTTCTATCCGGACGTTTTGTCATTCACACTTCTGGGAAAACTGAGCTCGTCTAGTTTCCTCTTCAGATAAGTTGGGATGAATATTATCCAAATTTTCAAAAGCCACATCCTCGTTTGTAAGTTCAATTAAAAAAGGATAGAAATATCATTTACAAAGAGAAGCTTTGAGACTGTTATCCTGACCTTATTTTTGTAGTGAAATGTCTGCTGGTAGTGGGCTAAAGGAATTTCCGTAGCTACGTCGCTCGGACATATGTTCTTGATGCCCCCCTCCTGTATGTATCTCACGAAGAGGAATCTAAAGGAAGGTTAGCGTTGCTAGTGCATCGATAACAAGACAACCGGATACAATGTTAGAACACACCGTATGACTATGTGGAGTGAACAATAGCTTCATGACCAAGGTTTAGTGTAGATGACGCACACATTTTTGACAACCGTTCTTATCTGGATTTACCTATCAGTCTGCTGACGCACTGGACTTAATTATAGGCAGTAAACCGCTGATAAGCCTTCACTTACACAATGGAATGGAACACCAGCTACATTCGTTGGCACCACACGCAAGATCTAATTTTGAATTACACCCACTCGTTCGGAAGAGGCGACGCCAGAACACGATGGACGGCTTGGAGTTGTTTTTATGTTTCTTCTTTGTTTCCTAGCTGAACAAGCCACTAATATTCACTTAGTGGGATACGATATTGAAATATTAACGCTCAGACCACCCAGCTAACAATCTCCACAGCAAAAGCTTCTGAGGAATTCCGGTATTGCCTACAGTATAGTCGATAGATTGACAGTTTGTCTTAAGTGACAATGGCCTGTCCAATTATGACGCGGGATTTACTGATCGGAAGCATTATTTGTGATAATTGAGTCCAGTATTGTACGCATTATTTTCTGTATGGGATAGCCCTTCGTACCTATCCCGTTTAGCATCATCTGAAAAATGACTTTGAGTCGTACGAGATGTTACTGGCAGGACAAACTGTTTCGAAAGGTCCATCTTTCTGTCACATTTTTTAAACCTCATCATGGTACATTCAATCTGGAAAAAATCGTTCAGTTGTAGCTTCCCTTCGGTGCCTAACTGCCACGCCACTCGAAGGTTGCAAGAGGGCTGGGATGTTTCCAGGTTGCCCAAGCCTAGACAGGGGAAGTCGTGATGCAAAGGTCGGGTTCGAAACACGGACCTTCCGGTCAGTAAATTCGTCCATTCGGACCATCTCGCCCAATCAACTTCAAGATAATGTCGGTCAGGGAGCCGCCACACAAAGCAATGAACGTAGTAGAATACGAAAGTCGCCTCCTGAGGGGCCGATGACTATCAGGTCTGGACAGTCAAAGGCATAAGTGAACATTGAAACTACTTGAATGTCGTGCTGTCTGAAACATCCACAGGTGATATTCTTGTGTAAAAGGGACCCTAGCAGTGGCTGTGGCTCCAGAGTGTGGATTGAGTTCGTTTTTGTTCACCAATGTGCAAACGCAATAAACACCGGAAATCCTAGTGTGTTACATACGAGGAACATTGGTTTGAAATTCACCGCGAAGAGGCGGATCGTCGGTTCAAGGTAAACGTACCTTTTTTCAGAAGTTCGGGTCACAGGGTGCAGTTTATCGGACCCCAGGATACTGGAAGTGATTCTTCGGTCATTGCCCTAACCAGTGACTATGTGGTAAAATCGGTGTCCGGACGAGCGCCCTGTCGGGAACAAAATTGTGCTTATATTTGCTGTTGCCTTTACTCGACAAACCCTTTGGTAACCAGTTACCAGAAAGCAAGGAAAACATTTTATGGTTAGACATTCTCTCAACCCCAAAATGGCAAGTTTGCTCACGATTTTTTGCTGCGTACACTTTGTGTCGAATCT